GAAATTTTGAATTAGGCATTCTTTGGGAAAACGCATTCAAATAGAACCTCAAAGTTTCAGAAAGTTTTCTTTCACTGCCCATTAAATTTGATCTTTAGAGAATCTAGACCCTGCTCTATGAAGGAAGGATACATTAAACTCTTGTTTTCTCACCTGTACTGCACAGAGAATTAACCATAAATCAAAGAGTGGTGCCCCAGTAGTCTACTAATTGGGATTTCTTTATTCTTGCACAGCAGTAGGCTAATGATCCAGAAGGTAATCCCCCAGTAATCCATTTAGCTATAGATAAAAGGAGACCCTCAGCCCCCCATCATCACTGGCACTACACTTTGGCATTATTTTTTAATATACATGACTAAAAAACAGGAGTGCTTCCATAGACCTCTTCCTTCATCCTTTTGAAACATTAGTACAGGTGAGAGACCAATGTGTAACATGTATCACTCATTACTCTCAGAGCAAATCAAAGGATATACAGATCTCTCTGTATTAATCTTGTTGATAACTTTGTAGGGTTTTGCTGAGAATGGGCATTTCCCCATACCCCCTTCCTTAGGCTGGCAGAAGCCAGCAAAGATCCATGGATTCTTCTATCCTCATCCAGCTACTCTATACTGCAGATGATAAAAGAGTAAAACAAGCAGAGTATTTGTCACCTCCTGTGACAGAGGGATTAAAGAAACCAAATTAAAACAAAAACAAAATTGGATCGAGTTGTTCACTACTCACCTGCCCCAGAAAAGCTTAATCATTTCACGTGTTTGGTGATTCTACTTCCTCAGCTTTTGGAAACTTGGAAATGTTTGAGAAGCAAAAATAAATACTAAAAAAATAATACAAATTTACCATGACTGAAAAGTCTGGTCTTCCAAAATCCTCATAGCATTGGTCCTTAACATTGCTGTTCACTTCAATTGAGAAGAGATCAAGGTTACCTGATAATTCTGCCTGAGAAGATAAATCTGTTAATCTTTATTTTAGGAATGTCAAGCTCTGGAAGATGATCCTACTCATTATGGAGCTCCAGCATAGCCTTGAAAATGCGGAGCCATTTGCCATTTGTCGGATGAGACAAAATTGACTTTGTTTCTTCAGCCTGACAAAGCAAAGTCTGGGAGCTGAATGCAGTCTGTAAACTAATCAAGGAATAAAACTTCATGAGAAGAGTAACGGTACTCTTGTACTGAGGATGTTAGGGCAGTAACAAATGGCTCATAAGGCATTTTTCAAGCATCCAGGCTGTCACTTAGAACACAGCTTCCAACAAGGACAGCTACTAGAGCCAGAAACTGCCAAGTAACAGCAGGACAGGACAAGCAATCCAACTGTGTTCCTGGCATAGTTTGTTAACAATTGGTCTTGCATAATGTAGGTTCTCTGACAACAAGAATGGACTCTCTCTTTGTTCTTAAAGCAAGAGTCTTAACTCCACAGGAAACAAAAGCCATATATAAACTATTTTTTAGTATCTGGTGCTTTTTTGAAGAGATGTAATTTGTATTTCAAGATTCATCAGTTTCTTTCTCTCTTTTTTATGTGGCTCAGTTCTCCAGAACAGAGTTTCTATTTCTAATGCTAAACCAGCTTGTCAACCAGGCAAGTGATGTAATTCTGTCTGTCCCAAAGCAAAATGAAAGAAAGCTGAAAATACTTCAGTTGCCTGAGCCAGTAAAAGCAGGAGGCCATCCATCCTGCCGGGTGCATCTAAGGATGGAAAACATCCAGTGGGAAGTTAGGGGCTATCTGTAAGACAGGGATCTTTTGTAAATCTTTTTGTTGCTCCAGTCCTCTGCAGTTCTCATCATTACCACAGCTAAGAGTTATTACATTGGTGAGCCTGTCTGCTACATCATAAAACATAATATCTGCTGCATTTGTTTCTATTGCATCACAAAAATACATTCACACATGAGCTTTGCAAGACAAAGATGAAAGTATCAACAAAGGCTAGGAAAGCTGTGTGAAGGATGATGAGAAAAAATAATGAAAACAGAGAAAGCAATGGAAAGAATAGGTGGTATTATGCAAGGTAAAACCCTCCACTTTTCCCTAATGCCTTGCAAGCAAGTAACAACTCCTCCTAAAAGGACTTTTTCTGAGGAGAATCCTGTATTCCTATACATTGTCATTCCTAAGCTTAGCATCCAAGTTATGTATTTTTGTATATTTTTTTTATATCTTGTCTTACACTTTCATGTGCAATAAAATTTTAAATCCTCTAAGTCTATTTAAAATATCAGAGGAGTTTTATGGTTTTATTTATCTTTTTAATGTGTTTTACTGAGTGCAGTCTTAAAATATTTTGTCAGCATTTGTAATTATCAGGGTGTTATAAACAATCCTGAATGATGCTCCTGAGTCAGCTATGATTGTACATGTGCACAAATGCATGAAAAGCCTCTCTGTGGATTTCAGGACCAGGAAATATCCCTTTCCATGGTTGGTGAAAATGCACACAAGTTGATTCCATTCCTGTTTTTAAGAGTTTCATGTCTGAAAATCCAACACCATTCAGTAAAACAAAATATTCTACTATCTGCAGTTACAGTTATTCCTATCCTGTGCTAGAAGAGAAATTCTGGAGAAACATAGTGGGACGTTTTCTTCACAGTTGTATTCCTTCCTCTTCACTAGTCGCATTCTCTGTGCCTGTGATGATCTTGAAGTGCCCTATCTATTCACCTTCCTCCAAGCATTTCGCTTAGCACCGTCTTTGGAACTGCCCATTTTTTTCTCATCGTTAATGCAACTCTATGATTCTAAGACATTGTGCAGGTGGGTCATAAGACTGGTGGTGTGTCGAAACACTAGCAGACTGAAAATTTGTTTTATTCAGCACAACTTTGTGACTTTCTCTCTATTTTTATCATCTAACTTTACCACAACCTATGGAGTTGAAGTCAACGATGTTACATTTTTTACAATTATTTAGTCTACATGTATGGATTGAAAATTATATCCCCTGTAGAATGTCAAATGTTGCTATAATAAGTTCTGAACTGTACTTTGACACTGATACCAACTCTGGATTTATTATCCTGAGGATCAGTATCTCTCCTTTCTGTTAGATTCTGTTAATATGCACAAAATTTATCATGGCAATTAAAATGCTTCTGTTTGCTAATCCACTGAGGGATTATTATTATTATTTTAGTTACTGCTATGGGAGCACAAATTTTACATTTGACTATATATGTAGTTTCCTTATAAGCATTCCTTTTTTTTTTTTTTTTTTCCCCTGAAACCCACTCCATCTCTATTATACCATAAAAAACATATTCTAAGATTCTGTACTTTCCAAGAGGAACAAACTATTGAGGAGATTAAATATTAGATGTGGAAGACAAGCTGTTTTTCTAAGTGTCTTACTGCCAAACACAGAATAAATAAATAAAATTTAAAGATTTTGGAATCAGGGGATCAGAAGTTTGATCACTCCACCGTTGGTTATTTTAAATTGAGCCAATTTCTATTGTGTATATTTCAATAGAAAGCTTTGTATATGAATTCTGTATATAGTTTTGTTTCTTTGTTCTAACTATTTATTAAGATATCTATATATATGTTATCACAAAAATCCTATCAAAATTCAAACTACATTGGAAAAATTTCCAATTAAATACTACAGCATCCATCTACTAGTATGCCTCAAGTATTTCCAAAGCCCACTATTTCCAAATTTACTACTCAGATTTTCAGAATGAGATAGGAATTGAGAGTGGACAACTTTTAGAAGACCAGTTTTTAAGTGAAGACATTAAAATTACATGCCTAACTTTTGTGAACCTTGTGAACTTCTGTGAAGCCAGCTTAGACTAAAATCTGTTCTGGAAAAGCATCATAGAAATAGTGATAATAGCATCTGATCTGTGCAAACTGGTTTTCACTTTACATGAAAATAGCAATAGTCAAAAAAATTTCAAAATGTCAGAGTACAAATTTTTGAGAACTTTTCCCCATAAATCCCAAATTTTATCATATGTGAAGGCTCCATCTAAATGAGAACAATAAACTGTAAATTCTATCTCTTTCAAGGAGGTGGGAGATGGATCACAGGAGTGCTATGGCTTGCATCATTCATGAATATGCATTTTATAAGTTGCACATGCAGAGATGCATAGTTTTCTTACTGCAGGAAGTAAATAGTTCCTTAGAACATAATCCAACCACTGAAGTCTAGAATTTTAACAAAATGTAGATGAATTCTAATTACTTAGCTGCAAACTTCCAGTTTCTTACTAAGATATGATACTATAAATGTAAAGTAATGGGGACTGGAGACTTCTTTGCTTTATCTTCATAATATAACTGAACAATCTTCAGTTAAAAATATTTTCCTCCAATAATGTAGAGTCAGCACTTACTGGAATCTCTGTTCTTTCAGATAACTGTAGCACTGATTCAAACCAGTAATGGTTTGCCATGGTACTAAAGTGATTTTACCTCCATGTATTTTGAAAGTTATGCTAATTCTGAGAAAAAAAAAAATTAAAAAAAGTGTCTTCAGATCCTTTTTATAAATTATTAATAAATAATTTCATCATCACAACTACCGACAACTAAATGTAGATTCAATGTCTTTGGACATCAAATGAGTCAAGGGACACATTCTTCTTTGCACGCTTTGGCAATTCCAAAGCATAGCATTCATCACTAAAAACAACTGATACATTCATAGTCTTAGTATAAATTCTATGTTGTGAACTACTAAAAATATGAATTAAAAAGAAAGATACTGTCAACTCATCTGCCATTCTTTTACATTTCTGCTAACTGTTTGGTAAACTACTAGAAAAGCATATCTTTTTTTGTAATGAATTCATTTTTTTGTAATGAATTTTTAAGACACTACACACATTCTTTTGCTCAAATTTTTAAACTTGTTTAAGAAGACATCTGCGCATGTACATGTTTTATCGTATGGACTTATCTGAAGTTGTACCACACCTAAATTAAGCCAAATAACTAGTAATAATGGGCTCTTTTCAGCTACACACTCATTTTCAAATGAATTTATTGAAGTAAAGGATTTACAGCATATGGACTTACAGACTTCTCATTTGTTTAACTCGCATCCATATGTACAGCTTTCAGTAGAGAACTCTAGAATAGTATTTACAATGTAAATATCAACTTTTATTACATAAGAAACAAATATATCACAACTTTCACTTCACAACATATTTGTTCAGATTTGATGACTAAAGTCATCTCTTTGAAATACTATGTGGAACTGAAAAATAACTTGTTGAAGAATTTTCTAGGCGTCCTTCAGAGGTCCTGAAATGCAAAGGAGAAATATGTTTTAATAACCACTTTGGTAAGTTATTGCATCATGAGGTATATAAAAGCAAACAGCAAATAAGAACTAACAGCTGACAGAAAACAAATTTTGCACTTAGAACTGATAAGTATGAGATGGGGGTCTTGGTGGGAGCTTGATAAACCTTGCAGCCAGTAGGTAAGGTTGTAGGACCAAGAATAAAGATTGAAGGGTTAGACAAAAAATCGTACTGTGTGTTGGCCTACAGTGCAGCATGGATCCATTTAAAAATAACTTCCTTCAGACAGATATGTAAATGCAGGCTCCTTAATGCACACTGCACCAATAATTGGGCACTATGATAAAATGATCAGTAACAGTCAGTGCTAACTTTTCACCAACAGAGAGATCTGGGTCGTCAGTACAGCTGATGAAAAACGAAAGGATTGAAAATAATTCCAGGAAAACACTGTGCTGGTATTCTCTCATACTTAATCAGTGCCAGAAATTTTAGAAGGTGCTTAATATGGAAGCAGATAGTCTAATCTTGTGTAGAAAGAACATTTATTTTCTGAATCTCAGCAATTAGAAGTATTTTTGTTCCTTGAAGCATAAGCAATTTTTGTCTTTTCTAATATTTGAAATCTTTAGAGTAACTGCCATATATATGTAAAGGGAAAGAAAATTTTATTTCAGTCTCTGAAATAAATAATTTGGAAAAATGCACTTTTTCTTTCTCTGAAAATGTTATCTTCAAAATTATGCTTTGTTTATTTGTTTTTTTTCCCGTATTTGTAGCCTAATTATCAATATTTTAATACATTTGTGAGAATAATAGGCCTGATTCAACTTTATGTTACCCTTTCAATTTTATGTCCCTGTGATATGAAGGATTTGTGTTTAAGTAAAAAACAAAAAACTGTTTGTGGATGAGCTTAAAAATAGTAATAGCTAAATGTAAAGCTGTAACTGCAGTATTTGCGTGCCAGATGAAATATGTGCAGCAGACTTCAGGTTGGAGTCAAGCACTTTTTTAATACCAATGGTTCACACTGCTTATCCTCTTAGTTCTTGGGCAACTCTTAATGAGATGGGGTATGTTAAACAAAATGTGCAGCCTTTTTTTTTTTTTCAAACAAAAATTAAAAGAAATATTATTGAGTTTGTTCTCTGAAGAAATAATAATCTTTGTAATTAAAAATGAGTTAATTCTCATCTTAGGCCACAGTGCATACAAGTTGAAACACCCAAGTGAATTAGGTACATTATTAACGGTGCCATTTAATTAGAAACTTTCAATAACAGCAATCATGGGATAGTTTAATTATTATTATTATTAAAATGATTATTATAGTCACACACAGTCCCTACAGAAACAATGAGCATTTCATGGAACATGGCCCTTTCTGCTTTTCTGATAGGTATATTTGATGCATGAGTGATCTCACTTTGTGGGTAAAGTTAACTAATAGCAAAAGGAAAGAAAATCTGGGCATACCAATGGGAGGTGGCTCAGCAGTTCATCTACAGAAACATCATCATAGTTTTCTGAAAAGGAAGGTTCAAGAATTTCTGCTTCATCTCGAAGTTTGGCTGGATTTAACTCTTCCTGGCTGTTGTGGATCAGAAACATGTTTTACTGTCTTCAGAAGAAAAAGCAAACAAGCAAAAAATGCCATGCTCTAACTGTAGTTATAGTAAATGTTTTAAACTTATACAGAAGTTATAAATCATATGAAATAGCACATTTAAAAAGTGAAAGGACATAACACTTAAAAGAGGTGGTCTAAACATGTGAATATGCAATGGAATACAAGACCTAAAATATACAGTGGCAACTTCTCACCTACACTGACTAGCACACATATTCTTTTGGGAACTTCTAGACTTTCTGTCATTACATGAAAATAGAATTTCAACAAATACTGTGTTTTCCTTTAAAAAAATTGTTCATGTTCCATAGTTTTTCATGGTTTTTTTCCTTTAGAATGTTAATATATACATAAAATACTAAGATTATGCCAGCAACATTTTAAGATTGCCAGATGCAATCTCTTCTTTATTATTTTACTCTAATCTGATTGTAGCATCTGTTTCAGTCTGGAAGAAAATGCTGTCTGTATTTGAAAGTCAGGTTATATCTAAGTTAAAAAGTCATTAATGCTCACCATCTTTCTTTGTCCTCTTTATATATATATACATATATATATATATATATATACACACACACAGGTATAACTCATAAATCTTATCTTTTAATAACATACAGCTATGGGAAATAAACACATATTTTCTCTCTTGTGGTACCTTCGTTTTCCAGTTAGAACTGAGTTTAAGTATTTCTTCACAGCCATTTGCTTTCGAAAGCGGCTGTAGTTGTCAGTGAAGACAGCATCAGAGTGGCGTTTGACAGGGCTGTCCTGGGAGCTGGCAATGTGCAACAGTCACGAAGGAAAAAAATAACAGACATTATCAGTTTAAAAGAAGATATTAAATGAGTGAAATAAACTTCATAATGTTAAGTTAAAAAAAATCAAATTTTTGATTTCAGTGTTCAGTTCCAGCTATTTGGATCTTTCTGCTCTTGGAAAGAACTCATTGCCTCTATTGCTTGTTATATGTCCTAATAACAAGGAACAATGACTTTAGAGACTTCTGTTAAATGAGTTCAGTAGGATCAAGTGGTTGAATGGGAAATTCACACCTTTTTCCTATGTATACTCATAGCAACCATTATTATTTTTTAATAAACTGACTTATTCTAATTTCTTTTATTCATGTTAATCTATTTCAGTTCAGTATCAAGGCAAGAACTGGTTTAAGCCACTGTAATCTCTTAAAGGACCTGGACGCCATTCATACTGAACTCTGTGAGGACTGAGCCTTCCTCTGAGGAAAGGAAGAGTGTAACATTACACATACAGCTGCAAATATTGTTTTAACAAAGTATTAGAAGACAGAACATCCTTTGTGAAATCCAGACTTGGAGGCTTAATTTTGAAGCATAATCTTGGGAAACACAGTCCTGTTCTGTTCTATGTTACTTTATGGCATATGAGAAACTGGCATTATATGTTTTGCACAAAGGCAGAATTGATACAAATGGGTAAAAATGGTGAACCTAATTTTCATCCAGCTTTTGAGCAGATGAAGTACACTCTCCTAGGAGCTGTTACATTGGGTCAGACTAAAGTACCATATTATTATATTCCCAAGAGTGCTCAGTAGATGCTGCTTAGAATATGAAAGCAAGAGAAGTACAGAATGATCCTTATCAGCACCCTGAGACCATTGGTTTATTAACAGCCTTGTTTGTAATTTGCCTGCAGACCCACTCTCTACAAATTTGCCTCATTTGTATCCTTCAGTGCATATTTCCCACAGTGCTCTGGCAATGCATTCTATGGTAGCAAAAAAGAAAATCATCCCATGTTGTTACTGTAAACCAATCATTTCTTTATTTCATTGAGTATCACCCTGATGTTATGTAACTGCTGAGTAGTCAATCATTTTCTATTTACTTTTGCCAGTTGTCCACCAAGCTAGCAAAATTACCACCAGACAGAGAAAAAAGAGATAACTGGCATGGTAATCATTACAACATTGCCACTATTTATAAGCAGTACAGTGTCTATTACTCTATCCTTTGCAGCTGTATCAGAAATAAACAGTAATGTATTCATTCAGTAACAAAACCCACAAAGTTGTCAATAGGATTTTCAGCTCCCCATTACTATATCTATTGCCCTTTCATTTCCTTTAATGAGAACTTAGTTACAGAAGGGTAGAAAATTGCCAATGAATCAGCTACAACAAAACTCTGCCTAATGCAAGTGTCACCTCACCTAACTCGTTTTCTAATAAGCGAATGCAGATATCTCTTCACAGCAAGTTTAGCCAAAAGATGGCTGTAGACACTGGTGAAAATTCCATCAGCATGCCTTGCATTTCTGAAATGGACAATAAATAAACTCTACGATACAAACTGGGTTTATATCATTGTGATAATGTTCATTTTGCAAACATACTTCTTTCCTTATCTATTGTACATATTAAATTAAGCTAATATCATAAAACGACTTCCAGATTTTCACAGTACATTGTTTTCATCCTTCTTGGGAAGTGAATGAGTCATCTTGCCAAAAAGGCAATGCAGTCAACATTTCTGCAGATGTTCCTGCTACTACCAGTATTCAACCAGAGGCCATGGTTCGGTTTTTTGTTTGTTTGTTTGTTTGTTTTGCTTTATTTTTCTCTGTAATAGATTCTTCCTTTTCTATGTCTGCTTGAAAATGAATGTGACTGATCTTTCGGCATAAATCAAGCAATGCATCACCATTTGCACTTACGATTATAAAAGAAACTCACCTATCAATAACTCTGGACAAATCAAAATAGAATTTCTCATTTTCAGGTAGTGTGTTCTGCAAAATGTCTGATTCAGACTTTAGGGACCCGTGGGCGCGGTCAGATTCACTGGCTGCATCAAAGGGCAATCTGTTTCCCAGTCTAATGGAGAAGAAAAGCAATGAAATACAGTTGGCTGGAGATATGCAACAATTCACTGACACTTAACATTCCAGCTTGTGGCAAAATACGTATCTACCTACTTCTTTAATCTGCAAAGCATTTTGAAGAAGTTTTTACGAAACAAAATCACTGTCAGGTATAATTCTTGTGCAGTGATAGAGTAACTGACAAAACAGATCTTCCTTTACATATGTTCATGAAATATGTTTTCATTATACGCGGTTACCTCCAGTGAGCACAGCAATTACAGCTCAAGTGAAAACTGTGAGGCTTTAAACAGCTCTATTTTATATAAACAACTGCTTTATTGCCCACCTCCACCCATACAAAGTGGAAGGAGTTCTGTGAAGTACTTACCCTTCAGCTAAGACCTAAAACATGCATAGGGGTGCTTATGAAACAGTTCTCAGGCCTTCTTCATAGGAAAGCAAACACATCCCCGAGAACTTCAGATACAAAGTGCAGTCGTGACTCTTTTAACACTGTTTCTACTCTCTGCTGTTTCCTTTTCTAGTTGCAAGTCAAAAAACTGACCCAAACCTCTAAAATGTATCACTGCAAATGCTCCGCATAACCTGCGTTACATTTACTTCACATATTCATAAACTGCTTTTCCACGTGGTATGTTACATTCTACCAAGGACATCCTGAATGCCTGGAAGTAGTTTGGTATCAGAGGTTCCTTCTGCCTGCTGCTGTATTCCACTGCTATGCTAAACCCCAGCATGTGCAAAACTCATGTGTGAGAGCTAGAAAAGATTTTTGTGCTACTGATTTGGCAGTCACTATAGCAGTTGTATTACTTGCATATTCGAGGTGTTTAAAAGTTGTCTGATCAAAATAGCAAAGTCGTGGCTGTGTAAAAATAACCAACCTGATCACAAGTCTTGGAAATAATTCACTGTACATTGTTCTCCTATAGTCTTATTTTACTTGCATTCCTCTTACATGTATGTAAAAAACACTTCACACCACCTGACTTAATCTGGTTAAATAACTAATAGAAACTTCTGCAATTCGAGACATGCAGCTTTCCAAGAGTACACATCAATACGAGTAGATCATTTCCCTTCCTTCAAGATTTGGGGAAAAAGTCAATTTTTTCCCTACGGACGCCTGTGCTTTTGTGCTTTTATCTCCTAGCTTTCCCATAAGGAAGTCTGCGCTGTCGGCGGACACCCATCTCCCCTCGCACCCCTCCACCCGCCCCAGCCCCTTACCGCGGCACAGCAGGGAAGGCGGCGCCCCGCGGGGGCAGCGCCCGCGCCCTCCAGCAGAGGGCGCTGAGGAGGGCGAGGGCGAGGAGGAGCGGGGAGGCGCCACGGTGCTCCATGGCCGCCACCTGCGGAGGGAACAACGCAGCCGTCACCGCCCGCATCGCGACCGGCCCTGACGGGACGGATGCCGCCGGCAGTGGGGTCAGCCGGACTGACAGCGGCCGTTTGCGGAGAGCAGCAATGCCCGGGACTTAGCGATTAAGAACCCCCCAAATCAATTGATAAATAGACGGATAGATGGATATGTATATGGTAAAAAGGAAGGGCATCTTCCCGGCTACCCAGCCTCGCATCAGCCAGACGGCTGAGTTGAGGAACGGGCAGAGTTACTCACGGAGCCGCGAATTCGTCGGTGGGGCTGCTTGGGAGGGCGCTCCGCTACGCTGTGGGGATGGCGCCCTGTCCCGCTGCGCGGCTGCCGAGCGGAGCGGCTGTCGGGGTGCGGCGACGAAGAAAGGAGGGCAAAGAGGACGAGATGGAAGAAGAGGAGAGCTCCGTCCCGCCGCACGATCTGAGCTGCCCGCCGCGCCGCCGCGTTTTATAGCGTTTACACGTTTCTGCTTCCGAAGGAGCAATCACGTTACTGGGGAGACGTCACCCTTCCCAAGGGGATGGCCGCTTTGTTCAGGACAGTCAGAGACTTATATTTAATTCATGAGCAGCCGCGCATTCTACCTCTTCTCCCCCTCCCCCTCGTTATTTGATTTCCATTAATGAGTTAGTTTTGTGGGGAGCAGGGCCCCGTCGGCAGCGCGGTTTCGCCTGGTGAAGCACAAGAGCAACGGGATGCTCCGTGGAGCACCGCTCCCCGCGACCCCCAGGGCTGCCTCCCCAGACCTCACTACTCCGGAGTGCCGCCCCGCGGAACCCCCTGATCCAGGGCTGCTCCTTCCAGTGGCAGGTTTTTTCTGTCCCCGTCCCCGCTAGGTCCATGCCCGTCGAATGAGTGGTGCAGAGCCTTTGCACCAGATCTGTGCTGGAGGGAATGGACCTTAAGCTCCAAACACCATATCTTGCTACGAACTTCAGCTTTTTTTTTTTGCTTTTTTTTTTTTTTCTTCGTGTGTGTATGCATGTGTGTGTGTGAAACCTGGGGCAACTGCTCCTCCTCATGTGGTTCAAGCCCAAACCTCGGGTCTAGGGTTACTGTCCAGTAAGGGGGAAACAGACAGTTTCAATCTTTCGGTTTCCTGCGCGGAGCTTTCCCTGCCTCAAGGAGATCCGTGAGCAGCGGGGAAAGAGGTGCGGGGAAGGAGGGGTGGGATCCGCGACCAGAGCTGTGGGGCAGCGCTATTCCCTCTTCGGTCTCAGCCAGCCCCGCGCTGAGGCACCGGCCAAAGAATCACAGTAGGATTTAGATTGAAACGGGTCCTGACCCTCTCGTCCATCCCTTTCCCACCTCTCTTTTTTTTTTTCCTTGAACTTTTCCTTGCTTCTCAACCTCCTGGCCAGAAGTAACGATTGTACGGACTCCTTGCAGACGATTTCACTATTTCCTTACTTCTCACAAGTTTCTTTGTTTCATGCCACGCTAAAGCAGGCTCAGCGGTGAGGATTCTGCGATGCTTAATCGCATTTTCTAATTCAGTTACATAAAAATTAAGTGAATTAGATTAAAAAATGCCTGGAAATTTGTTTCTCGGATGACAGCTGTGACTAAAACCAGAGTTCCTGCAGCAGACTAATTTCAGGAAAATTTCCCCTTGTTACTACATAACTAGAGGTCGAAGAAGTAACTCAGCGGGAGAACGGCGAGATGAGCATCAATAGCCCCGCGTTCCCCCCACCCACAAATATCCAGCTAAGGTGTTCGGGCATAGTGCTGCATGCACCGCCTGGCGAAGTTCAATGGACTTCACCCAAGTGCTTGAGACACGAGAGGAGAAATCCGCCTCCTGGGAGCCGTGTTAAAGCGCAGAACAAAGATGTTTCAAAGGTTGCCGCTTCTCAGCCCGGCCCGGAGGAGGGGGGGGGAGACCCCCATGGCCTCGGTTCTCCACCCGCCCGGGGCTGAATGCAGCCTCCATCCGCCGAGGGAAAAGCCCAAGCTCAGCCTGCGGCTGAAACCTGAGAATCGTATTTTTCTTTTTAAAGTTTTCTTTGAGCTTGCTCATTTCAGCTGAGGCAGGAGAGAAAGGTTCAGTCAGGCTTCTTGAGGGCTATGGAGACTGGGAAGAAGGGGAGGCTCTGTGTCTGCTGCTAGGGGCTTTGTGAAAAGCAAGTGTGTTCTCAACTACTGTGTATGTGCTATACGGGAAGCTGCATGCTGTGAGGAAACATGCAGTTTACACTGCTAAAAAAAAAAAAAAAAAAAAAAAAAAGCAAAATCAAAAAACAAAACTAATCAAACAAACAAAAAGCAGAGAATCATTGGTACTTTTTCAGTACTTCTTTATCATACCATACCATGCCATGCCATGCCATGCCATGCCATTTGCATTTATTTGGTATAGTCTAAATCTGTTTTGCCACATTTATTTATTTGTTTGTTTGTTATTGTTATTATCTTTTTTTTTTTTTTTTTTTTTTTTTTTTTTTTTTTACAGATATAAACTGGATTGGAAAAGAGAGTAAGCATGCTTTAAGGTTGGGTAAAACAACCTTCAGAACCCTACGGGTGGCAGTATTCCCGAAAAAACTCTCTTCAGCCTCTTTCATGATCTGAGCTGTTTTAAGTGCAGTTATTCTATCATACCATCTATTTTTCCTTTTCTACAGTCAGGAAACTGAGTCACAGGGAGAACAAGTGAATTTACCATGTTTATGCAGGAAGTCTTCAGAAGAGCCTTAGAATGACCCCAGATGTTCCAAGTACTTTTCAATTGCAATAACAATTATCTGCATTAATCTTCATCACCCCACTGTACTTACCACCTCCTCCTAGTGAATCAAACAAGTTTTCCTTAGCTCTTCCTTTCATTTCTCCAGAAGATTTTCACAGAAGGAGGTTTTAGTATGACTGAGATGAGTTTCAAGTGGCAATTCAAATTCTAGTCTTTTCCATTTTTTTTCATTACACTCACAAATCATACTAATTCTGTGCCATTTTGAGGTGTTTTGATAGGAGTAAGTCATTAAAAACAAAATAAAAGCTTTATAAAAAGGCAGATATAGAAAGCTTTGTATAGGAGTCCCAACTGAATACTCTAAGTACTACATTCTACTGAAAGAAACTGTCCTTTCAGAAAAGTGACACTTAGACAACAACACTGCTTGGGAGCTTCTTAAGGGCAATAATCAGACACAGGCAACTCTCAGTCAAGTATTTTGCAGTTGCTATTGATGGAATCCTGATGTGTAACAGCCGCATGTCGATTGAAGCTTTTGTCTTTATTTCATGTTATCAATCACCTTTGAGTTATTCCTGCTTCTTTGTTTGTTTTCTTTAACTTTCCACTGCACAAAACCAAGACGATGATTGAAAATTTTGCAATATTTGGGAATGATGGCAACCCCATTATACAGGATTGAAGAAAGAGTATAAGTTTGTCTGAAATCTTAACTTTCCATTTATACACAAACCTCTGCGGTGCATGATATAGGTCAAGTACTTCATTTGGGGGAAAGAGATCAGAGATCTTTTAGGTTTGGTAGTTAGATCTGATTATTCCTTTTAACTTATAAAACTACTGAAATTTATAAGACTAAATAATTCCTACAGCCAAATTCTTAGCCAAGGGAAATCTGGTTAGTTCCATTGAGGACCTGCTTAATATTTGCCAAATTTATCAAAAAGAGAAATTACATGAACAGTAGAAATACTGTTTTATTTTGAAAAGAAGAAGAAAGAAGAGAGTTGTCTTAGAGCTTGCATATTATATCAGAAAAGGAAACTACTTCTGACTCATGAGCTCTGCCTCATGAATCGCTGGGTCTGAAGAATCTCCCTTGTGCATTACAGCTCATGTTCCTGTAGACGAAATTCTGTCTTTGATCCCATAGCCATATCGCATTGATTCATGAGTTCTCAGAGCTTACAGAGCAGATCGATGGAGTACTGCCATTCAGCTTTTCCAATTTCCACAAAAGTGATAACACAAGAAATGTCAAGAAAGTGTACAAGAGGAGTAGAACATTAAAATAAGAAGTCATAAACTAATCTGTTCATCTCTAATCCTTCAGCAGCATGACTAACATAACCTTCAATTTGTTCTCTCAGCACCCTGTTACCTTGCTTGCTTCTTGCTTCTTTCCTGCAAACATTCACAATCCTCAATACCACCTATTTGGAAAAAAATGATGTGATCACATGCTGAATCTTGTACTCACAGCATTCTTTTTGAAGTCATCTTTGGATACCTTTCAGAATAAATAAGAAAACCACCAGTTCATTCTTTTAGATAAGGTTTAATTCAAAAGCACAGTCCTCATACAATCATTCAAACCTACAAATCATTCAACCATACAAATCTTCGGCCTGAGTCAGTTCTACAGGCTCAGAAATGTGATAGTAAATAGAATTAATAACAGACAAATATTTTGCAATTCAAAATGCACTATTTCCTTCCTCCAAAAACATTCACCAGTGGAGTGCTCATCTCTTCAGTTCCCAGGCCAGGAGGATATTGTGCTGGTGAACCAAGGAACATTTATTTCCTCATTTCGGCTCATTTTGAACCCTCATGTCACACATCCTCAGAGCAGAGTGATTAACTGCAGGATACTATAGTAACAAATTAGTCTACTTATACAAGTTTCTCCTGTTCCAGGTATTACCTTCATATTGTGACCCAGTGTGGGTTAACAATTTCCAAAACCAGTTTTCAAAATCACTGGGACATTGGGATTATTTCTATGACTTCCAATCACTCTCCCACCTTTCATATTAGTAAGTTTTGATGATTCAGTGATTCACCACAAGCCATTCAGATTTCTTTTCCGTGAACATATAAGCATGCTTCATTAAAACTGCCTAGTTTTGAACAATTAACATGAAAGGAGAGATGTTGAATCCAGTGGTGTCCCCAAAGGTCTTTTCCCCTTGTCTAGCATGCCATCTATGAAAATTGTTATTGATCGTTGTTTAGTTGCGCATTTTCATATTTCCTATTACTCACTCTGAAGTGCAAGTTCAGCTTTGCAAAAAGATATTGTTTTCTCTGGGTGTTCATACTGTTTGGCATGTGCTTGAACTACTGTTTCATGTTCATCTGGTTCATGACATTCACCTCAAAACCTGAAAAACCATGTGGTAAAACAAAGCTTGTCAGGAAGACAGAGTGATTTGTATTTTAGTTATGTCAGGTGCTTGTTTTAACAAACTATCTGAAATATGTCCTATTCTTATCAACAGTGCTATAAACTTCAGCAAAGGATCAGATGACATTTTCTTCACCAGAAATGTGACCCTCCATACTACTGCAGCTGCCCCAGTCCATTTGTCTCCTCTGAAAATCTAAAATTACCTCTTTGTATGTCAAGTATGTGTATCTTCAGGATTCTACAATGTTCAGACTCAGCTTCTCATCCATATGCAGCTAACTCAAAGCAACATATTTTCTTTCATAGAGTTTAGAAATTTTCCACGTGCATTGATTT